TAGCACTGGCCGTCCATCCGGCTGGCCACTCCTCTCAGTCTGACCCAGGAGCCTGGCAGGCGCCTGCCATCGGGACGGGTGAGCTGAGCTGAGAGCCTGGGGCCCGGGGTTTAACTCTGAGCAGGAGACATGGGGGCCCGTGGGCATGAACACACTGTGGGCAGTTCCCACTGGGCTCCTGCTCAGGGGGAGCACACGGGACCAGGGGCTTGGTGCCAAGCGGGCCGGTGGCCATGTCCTTGGGCACCCGGGTGGCCGTCCAGCGGGTCCCCCTTTCCAGAAGCCGTGCCAGGCCAGGCACAACCCCCGGCCCCCGGCCCGTCGCCAGGGCCCCGTCCAAAGCCGTAACGCGTCTGTCCTCTAAGCACATCACCTGGAGAAACGCGGCTCCTCCGGGCAGGTTAGGTGTGCGGGTTCTCTGGCCCTCGCGCCACCTTGGACGTGGACGTGGCCACAGGGGGACGCGGTGACGGGGAGCAGAGCCTCGCGCAGGGAGCAGGGGACCGACCTGAGGAAGCTGAGCGCCTACCGCCGCCACGGCCGCCACGGAAAGAGACCACACTCCACACGGGACACCCCCACGCGTCCCTGCTCCCAGTCACGCGTGAATCATAACAAAACTTCAGTTTTCCACTCAGGACGCGTTCCTTATTATTTCATCCTATTCCATCCCTTTTCTTTATTTCCTCTTTCCTGTGGAGGAAAAGCTCCCGCCTGTTTACTTTTGAGCCACAAATTCAAGCAAACGTGTGTTCACGGGTGTAACAATTTGAACGTCTAAACTCACTGGTATGGGAGGAGCAGGGAGCGATATGGCAGTGAGCTGGGGACACAGAAACTGGAATGGTTTTGCCAGGAGGCTGTCCCCACGGCCGCGTGGCCCACACTCGCCGGCGCTGCTGGGCCCGAGCCCGGCACGCGGCTCGCCCCGCTCCTCGGCCACGCCCGGCGGGGTCCATCTCCGGCCGAGAGGAACATATGACTGGCTCCTTGATAAACACTGTAGTGCCTTCCTCAGAACTCACGTCCATCGCAGCTCAGCCAAGAACGGCCACACGTGAACAGGCAAGAATCCGACACTCGTTCACATTTGTCTCGGATGGACGCGCTCACGGTGCTCGGATTTCTCACACTGGGATGCGGACACAGCCAATGCCCGATGTCCACGCTTGCAACAGCGCCCGAGATGCGGGCCCCGAACTCGTTGTCCCCCTGTCACAGGAACACAGGATTAACCACTGGTCACTCCGCCGACGGCTCTTTCCGCCGCCCCTGCAGCCACTGTGAGCACATGGCCGGGTTCCCACCGGGGATCGAGCACCGGGGACGGCTGCGGCTCCTGCTCCTCCCCCTGGGCATGTGGTGAGCGCCTGGCCTGTGCAGAGGACACGCCCCCCCGGCGGGAGCTGCCCACGCCCACCCGGGACCGGCCACGCGAGGGTGTGGCTGTGCTGGTGGAGCCCTGCAATCCCGGGCATCTCTGCCGTAGTTTTCACGTGAACTCACCCCAATGGCCTCATACGGACCCGCTGGGGGCACCTCCTCCCAGAGGGACATTTACGCGGCATTTTACCGCCTTAACCAGCGCTGCCGTCGGGAGCGAGCAGGGCCCAGAGCCCGCAGCAGTCGGGACGGGTGTGTTCACCTGCGGGGCTCTCTGCCCCCTCGAATGTGAACTCGGTTGTGAGTCGTAGGCAAGGCCCTGCAGCAGGACGGGACTGGACCAGCGACGGGTGAACCTCACAGCCACGCTCTCAGAGCGATAAACGCCTTTACGGTGGGCATGTCCGCGGGGCAAATACCTTCATATTACTCACTCCTAGGTTCTCTGGACACGGGCTTCGTGCTGCCCATGGAAACCATTGTTTTTAAGTCATGTTTTGAGAATATGAGGGTTCGTAGTTCTTCAACCACCGCGTTTTAGCAGAACAGACTGGTGAAGACATGGAAATGTCGTCGTACAAGTTACTGAAAGTCTGGAAGCCCAGGTCCACGAAGCGATGGCCAGGGTTACAGGAGGCTGGGAGGCTCATCTGTGGCCACGAGGTCCGTGTGGCAGCCGAGGAGCGCGAAGCCCGTCCTTCGTGGCCGGGGCGGGGTTGGGGGCCTTGAGTGCAAGGGACAGAGCATCCTCCTGGGGCAAACGACCCGGTCACATCACCTGTGAGAGCGCTGGGCCTCAGGGAGAACTCTGCTCAGCGAACAGCCGCGGATGGTTCGACAGAACAGGGGGCGCTGGCGGCGCGGCTGGGGGGCCGCGTGAGGCCTGACGGTCCCCCTGCGGTGACCTGGCAGGAAGCCCAGGGACAGGCAGTCTCAGGACCTGCTGGGTCCTGTCCACCGTGACAAGGAGCCGCCCTGGGAGGTGCCATCCTCCCCTCACGTACGGACACAGACGCGGACTCGTGAGCATGGCGCC